CACCAAGCCCACTTCACACATCACACCTCTGGAACAGGCAGCGTGAGTGATGATAATCCTCCAGATACAACTAACGACGCTGATCGTCACAACACGCACATATTCCCCTGGATTACTCTAATCCCTTCAAGTTTTTATGTTTGTCCAATGTCTTGTCTTTCCTCCAGAGATATAAGACAGGAAACAAAACATCAGGATTTAAAGGCTCTTGCCGAGCGCCGTCTCCTCTTGATTGTTCCCCCTCTTTTCCCTCACCCACCCTCGCTGCTTTGCTTATCTCTCATATTCAATTTAACTTGGACAGTGATTAACGCTTCTCCAGTAAAGAGAGAAAAACACAAAGGGTTTTTTTTCTTCCTCTCGTCCACACGGCTCCTTCAGCTGTTCATCTGTCCTCCATTTTTAATGACTTCTTTATCTCTGGACTGAGTAGAACATTTCTTAGCGCTCTTATGTATGCTCTGTTGAGCAAAGTGGAGTCAGTGTGGTGTCAGGTCAGAGAGGGGCAGGAAGTAAGGATGGGAGAGGCCCGACTGTCCAGTGACTGTCAGGTTAGCAACGCTGACCACAAACGAAGCCTTTGTTTCTAAGCATGTTCCAGGAGGACACACTGTTTCAGGAGTGTTTCTCCAACACACAGATAAGTGCAGCAACGCACTCATGTTGAAATTATTAAATGCGAGCTTTGTTTCCAGGGATGCATAAATTAACAAAGAGAGATTGTGCCCTGCTCTGTAGCTGTGCTCCATTGATTATTACAATCATCATTTATATTAATTCATTCCACTAACAGCGGGGTCTTTAATGGATAAAACATGAAGTGTTAAGTGTTTTTTTGCCTGTGGGCATGAATTTGTGTTTTCAGCCTGGATATCATTTAATGAGCACGAATTTGCACGTCTTAGTCTCAGTGTTGTCACCTGGAAATACACACACACTTATTTGCTTTGGTAAATGCAGTTAGAGAAAATAAAGAATACACACAGTATAATATTTACTAAGGAGACTTGGATTTCAAGTCCCAGAGGGTCACGAGGCCAAACTACTACCCCTTGATTTTAAACTATTTTATATGTTTTGCAAAATAATTTAAATATAAATAAAATAAACCCATAATTCCTGATTTATTTATTTAGCAATGACATAAAAATCATTTACCATAATCCTTTTAATCAACTAATGTTTGAAGTGCCCAGTTTTAATTAATTATTATTGCGGGGGGGGAGCCCCAACACGGGTACGTGCACTTTGCTTTATTTGTCTAAATTCTAGGTCAGTACTGCAGGTCAGTACTGCAGGTCAGTACTGTAACTGAGAATTGGTTCCAAATTGAAATAAAGTTCATTAGTTAACAGGAGGTTAAATAATAATGAATGAATGACACTTTATGGACTGAAACAGGACCAGATAATGTGTTCAAATGTGGAGGTGAACACATGTTTAATTTCTACCAATAAATCTCACTTTTACCCTCATTTCCAAATGGACTCTGGAGTTGCACATAAACACACACCAGTGTATATTTCTTTCTGTGTTCGCTATAAAAACCCCAGCCCCCCCGCCCCAAAAAACAGAGACTGAATGCAGTGATTTTCTGTCTGTTTGACTTGTGTCTGACTTCACTCCAGAAACACAGACCTCTCTGTGTCGCGCGTCAGGAACACGTTTCTTTGCCTCTTCAATGTTTATGAAAATACTGGATTGGCTGCGGAGAAGAGAGCTATAACCAAATGGCTCGGCCTACTCGCACATGACTTGAAATAATCAGCAGAATAATGGGGAACAATAACAAACTCTGCGGGAAATGTTCAACGCATAACAGTTTATTGGGCAGGGCGAGCTTTTAGATGGGTTAAAAAGCTTTCTGTAGAGCAAAAACATCATTACCCATCTGCCGGCATTTTCAACTAAGTATTTTTCCAATGAGGATGGCAGAGCAGTGAAAATCATTTTCAATCAGAGCGCTTTTTAATATGCATATATTCTTATCTTATAATGGGACCCTCTCTATTGTGAGTGTCTCCTCGCAGCACCTCTCACAGCATAATGGACCATAAACTGAATAGTGGGAAAGGTAAATAATTTAAGCCCCCTGCATTTACTGTGGCACACCTTGCATTATGAATTTATGTTTGAAGGCGTAACAAGAGATTACAAATTACCACATTAGGGGGGGAGGAAGGGGATGAAGAGAGGATGGAAGAGGGAGTCAGAGTATTCTACCCTGCGAAAAGAACCACTTAGGGAGCCAGATACAGTACATCAGCAGCCTATTACACATGGAGTGAAAGCATCTGCTCAAAGAAGCCCACCAGCTCCTCTGATTGGTCACATCCTGCTACTAACACCGCTATTAACAGGAAATCAGGTCAGAGGAGGTTCTCAGTTGTCTGGGTGAGTGAGTTAGATCATCTTTGAACAGGAGCTGTGTCTCTCGCCACTTTTTAATGACTTTTACTTACAGTAAAGGTACGCCAGCTCGCTTGTGTGCATGTAAAAAACCCGCTCCCCTGTGGTAGGGGGTGTAACTAAAAGACTGTACATTAGCTTGATTCAATGTTCTCCCTCGGATTTTTCTTTTTTTCTTTTTCAGAGAGACAGGAAGCTGGCCAGTGTAAAATCCTTACAGATGGTCTGAAGAGAAAACAACAACAGACACTTGTTTGGCTGCAGGTCTGTTAAGACCAGTGGTTTGAGCAGCTAATGGACAGAAGAACATCTAAAAGATGTATTGGACACAGCTGTCAGGCTCCATTAAAGTGAACCTGAAACTAAAGATGGACGACGTGAACGTCTTTTAAACAAATATCTACTATATATCAATAATTGGTTTTGAGCAGGTTAATGTCACATTAGACCACAGATCTTCTAATGGCATGTTTTGGCCCCTAGAGGCTGTGAGGGTATTACAAGGATAAAGTGAAAAGTTCTGTCCATTTTACTTTGGGAAAAAAACAAACCCAAACACAACAAAAAAAAACATGCCCTTTGTTTTGTTTCTTCCAATTTTGTTCCAAAATCCCTAAATATGACCTGAAATATTTCCTCATGTGCTGGTTCCTGAGCCCTGCACTGGACCCTTTTGATATTTATCACTTCTAATAGATTCAGTGAATACAGAGGAACAACAGCCTCAGTTAGGTTCAATATGAAAGCAATGTGCATGTGTACGACAGTGTCTTTTCTCTGTTTGTGACTGTGTGTGTGTGTCTGCGTGTGCAAGGCGGCAGTGGATGGTTTATCCCCGAGGCTGCATGTGACGGCCGCACCAGCGCCCTCTCCCTCCCCGAGAGGAAGCGCAGTGACCTTTGCATTGGTGACACAGACGGTGTGTGAACTTACATCAACGTAATTTGCATTAATGTAATCTGAGCTCTGCTCCCCCTCCTGGGCCTGCAGTCTGACACGGGAGTGATCATCTGGAAGAGCAGCACAGAGGAGAAAAACAGCTCGGAATTAGTCGTATTAACAAGGACACGGGACAAGAAACACAGGCAGAGGGACAACCACACGGTGGCGGGGACAATTAGGGATTCGTACGGGGTCATGTGACTGTGTCAGAGGTACAACAATGACCGTACTGTGCCATCGTTGTCGTACAAGCATGTAACATATAATGTAATAGAATTTAAGATGGCCACCACTGCAGACTTCAAATGATTAAATCTGGCAACAACTTAGTGAAATTCATATATTCATATTGTTAAGAATAGAGCTTTTATCAGCCAGGGTTACAGAGGAAATAGATGAATTTGTTTTTAACACTTTTGTTTTTACACAAACACAGTCTGATTTATTATATTTAATACCTAAAAAAGGGAATTATTTCACTTTAAATTTCATTAAATTGCTTTACTTTAAATGTATATAATATACTGCATCTATAAAGTCTATAAGTTGGCGGAATTAAAGTAAAGGCGAGGTCAAGAGGGAAGTGACATTTCAGCTTCAATCGGTAAGTTTACACAAGTCCTCTGCAATAGTTCAGAATGATAGAAAATATAATATATATAGATATATCAAAATCACTACCAAAGCTCCAAGTTATGCGGCATATGCTTCACAGCTTATTTCTCCTAACCTTAAAAACAAGCTGCAGTGAGATGAATATGTAAGTGGATTGGAAAGGTCAAAGCTGCTCTTGTTGGCTGATAATGAAAACTCTGTTTGAGCAGCTTATAGTCATCTAGAGTCACACGACCGGCCAATAAATCAGAGAGAAGAATGGGAATGGCAAAAAAACAAACAAAAAAAACAACAACGTATGAGCGTGGAGGAGGTGCTCGGTACACACATGCAATAATATTCCCATATCGGTTCTTTATGCGGTTCTCGTCCTTCTTGGCAGAGTCCCAGGGCGCTGACTGTCCTTCAAAAAAACTCTACAAACAGAGAAAAGAGAGAAGAGAAGAGCGGAGATGAAACACGGTGTCATGTGATCACCAGACTTAAGAACACAGTCCTTCTCTATTCAAGACTAAAAAAAGAGGAGGAGGAGGGGGGCAACACAGAGGAAGACACAGAGATATATTGACAGCATAATTAGACATGAAATAGAGGGAGGATGGTGGATCTCAGGAAGCAGTGTCAAACAGCATGTGCCATTAGGGCAGAAGCAGCAGGAGTCGCGCTCAAACCCCCCCCCCTGCCCCCCCCCCCACAACACTCTGCCGGGCAGAACCACTGCGGCGGCTGTCAGTCTGCCTCATCTGAAAGACTCAATCAGCCCGGTGTGAGACAAAAATAAAAAAAATAAAATAAAGCCAGCTCATCGTCTACACATCAAACCTGCTCTGCTCAGATTACACTCATGAAATATTTATCATCACTTGCTGGGGAGATTTCCATTCTGATGGCGCACCAGGCACAATTAAGCCAAATTATAAAAATACATCTCAACTGCCAGTCCACCGCTGTTCAGGGAGTGCTGCTGGCTCCACAGCTCCACAGCTCCACC